CCACATCTCTCCCTCACTCCTTCCCTCACCCACCACATCTCTCCCTCACTCATTCCCTCACCCACCACATCTCTCCCTCACTCCTTCCCTCACCCGCCACATCTCTCCCTCACTCCTTCCCTCACCCACCACATCTCTCCCTCACTCCTTCCCTCCCCCCCCCCGCCTGGCACAAAGCCAAACATTCCGACAGACGTAAAAATATTATTTCTTGGGTATTTTATGTCTGTTTCCTGGAACACTGTGACCTCCCTGGGTGGTTGGGGAAGGGTTGGGGAAGGGTTGGGGAAGGGATGGGGAAGGGTTGGGGAAGGGTTGGGAAAGGGTTGGGGAAGGGATGGGGAAGGGTTGGGGAAGGGATGGAGAAGGGTTGGGGAAGGGATGGGGAAGGGTTGGGGAAGGGATGGGGAAGGGTTGGGGAAGGGATGGGGAAGGGATGGGGAAGGGTTGGGGAAGGGTTGGGGAAGGGATGGGGAAGGGTTGGGGAAGGGATGGGGAAGGGTTGGGGAAGGGATGGGGAAGGATTGGGGAAGGGTTGGGGAAGGGATGGGGAAGGGTTGGGGAAGGGTTGGGGAAGGTTGGGGGAAAGACTGGGGCTTGTGGGGAGTGATGTGGCTTTGAGGAGTGACTGGGGGTAAGGGGAAGGGATTGTGGGTAGGAGAGGGGGAGTGGGGGCGTAGCAGGGGGGAGTGGGGGGGTAGCAGGGGGAGGGAAAGCAGTGTGTGTGTGACGGACCTCGGCGCCATCTATTATCCAGGAACAACTGACCCTCCCATTAATACCAGTTCCCCATGTCCTAGTCTGCTGTCCTGGGAGGTGATGAGGCACTGGTGACAGGCAGCAGTGAAGCAGCCAGTGTCAAGTACACAGGTCGACCTGGGCACGCCTGGGCACGCCTGGGCACGCCTGGGCACCAGTATGCTAGCGGAGCGCTGAAGACTTCTTCACTAAATCGTTCCAGTAGTCTGCATTTCCTACCGCAACTTTCCAGTATGTTGTTATTTTGTTGTGTATATTGCAAGCTTGACCTTCCAATATCTGTCATGTATATATATTATGTCTCCTTTCCAAAGAAAGTACATTTTGAGAGGTTTGAGACGCACCCAATAATTTAGAAGCTTTACCGTGTATATGCGTGCCATATATGTTCTTTGTACTCGCTATATTTCACCAATCTCTCTTGCTCCAATGCTCATGTTCCAATCCAGAACACCAATGGTCTGAAAGGATTGATTGATGAAGATTAAGCCACCCAAGAGGTGGCACGGGCATGAATAACCCGTAAGTGGTGGCCCTTTTGAGCCATTACCAGTATCAAGACCTGATACTGGAGATCTGTGGAGGTAAGAGGGGTGAAAGGATTGAGTACCGAGCGGTACTTCAAGCGGGGTACCGTAAGTGACTTCAATAACGAGTGAAATATGTGACGCCAATAATAAGAGCAGTGTGGTGACATCCCTGAGAGTTGAAGGGTCTCATAATCCACCCGATCATTTTTCTGGTTGATGATGATTGATTTGGTTAAACGTCAGGTGGTCAGACATCATTATTCCCGGATCCCTTACATGTTGTTTTCCGTCTATGAGGTCTTGAATCCTCATAGGATTCTTGAATTCTTGAATCTGATTGTCTCTTGAATCCTGTCTTTCCTCTGTCTTCATTTGTACCATTCCTAAATATCTGGAAAGTATATCATTGAAACATCTTATTTTCTGCTCCCCAAAAACTTTTAGTTTTTTAATGTCTTCTACGAAGTAATTTTCCTCTTGACTTTTGTATGGTATACAAAGGATGACATGGGGGGGGGGAGAGACAGCGGGTAGGGAAAAAGTAGAAATTGAAATAAGTTTATTGAGGTAAAATACACACAAAGGGATGAGGTAGCTCAAGTTATTCTCACCCAGTTAAAAGAGAGTAGAGGTTCGGAAGGATTGGGTGCAGGGATTAAGGCACCTGATCAACCAGGCTGTGATTCATGTCTATGTGCAGGAGCGTCTAACAGCGTGGATGCCCACACCCTCAACCAGGTGACTATTCAGAAACCGGACCGCGGGGGACACTGATCCTCGGAACTATATCAAGCTATGGGGAGGATTGATGATTAAGGAAAAGGATTGATTTCTATGAAAAGGGATTGGTGAAGACTGGAAAGGATTGGTGGTTAGAAACTGAGGCGGGTTAAAGAGGAGGCACTAAGGAGAGCAGCAAAACACCGTCCACCATTACGGGGCTATTCATGCCCGTGCCACCTCTTGGGTGACTTGATCTCCATCAACCAATCACCGTCCACCACACGACCAGACTGGTCACGAGCTCCAGGAACTCCTGAACACACAAGCACTCAACCTCAGACTACAGCACCGAGCCACCAGGGTGTGGAACGCCATAGAAAATTTAGAATAAAGTCGCCGATCACTGAAACCAGTCTCGTGGAGGTATGATGCACCAACATATCAATTACCCTCGAAATAAATAGCTGTCAAAATATAACTATACCTCTGAAAACTCACACCCCAGAAGTGACTCGAACCCATACTGCCAGGAGCACTCTGCAACTGGTGTACAGGAGACCTTAACCATTCTGATGATGGGGAATTAGCCTCGGCTACCATCATCTTTTGTTTGGTCGTGTTGGTCGTGATGGTCGAGTGGTTAAGGTCTCCTGTACACCAGTTGCAGAGTGCTCCTGGCAGTATGGGTTCGAGTCACTTCTGGGGTGTGAGTTTTCAGTTGCATATATGCCTGGGGACCATTCAGGCTTGTTCGCATAACTATACATCTTTAAGTTTCCCAACAAGTGTAACCAAAAGAGTATCCTAAGAACATATGAAGGTAACTGCAGAAGGCATATTGGCCCATACGTTGTTGTTTTTAGATTTAGCTACTCAGAACGGTCTATGTAGCACGGGCTATGGTGAGCCCATAATCTGGCCCATACGAGGCAGCTCCTATTTATGTCCACCCAATAGGCTAGTGTTGGGGTGAGGAAGGTAATGTCAGTATCGCCCACCGTGAAAACCTGTCCCCCAAGCAACCCGTTCTCGCAAATTTAATAAGTCAATATTGACTTATTAAATATGTGCATACGTGACATACTTAACATAATAGTTTCCCTTGAAAAGCTTCATAGAAAACACCAACCTTACCTAACCTACTTAGTATGTTAAGATAAGCATCTTATTGCTTCGTAATTACAATTATTACCTAACCTATACCTATAATAGGTTAAGTAACAATTGTAATTACGAAGCTATAAGATGCTTATTTTAACATACTAAGTAGGTTAGGTAAGGTCGGTGTTTTCTATGAAGCTTTTCAAGGGAAACTATTATGTTTAGTATGTCACCTATGCACGCAACTAATAAGTCAATATTGACTTATTAAATTTGCGAGAACGGGTTGCCACAAGATGAGTGGCCTGCCCTCGACACCCTCACAGCTCACATCAAGATGAGTGGCCTGCCCTCGACACCCTCACAGCTCACATCAAGATGAGTGGCCTGCCCTCGACACCCTCACAGCTCACATCAAGATGAGTGGCCTGCCCTCGACACCCTCACAGCTCACATCAAGATGAGTGGCCTGCCCTCGACACCCTCACAGCTCACATCAAGATGAGTGCCCTGCCCTCGACACCCTCACAGCTCACATCAAGATGAGTGGCCTGCCCTCGACACCCTCACAGCTCACATCAAGATGAGTGGCCTGCCCTCGACACCCTCACAGCTCACATCAAGATGAGTGGCCTGCCCTCGACACCCTCACAGCTCACATCAAGATGAGTGGCCTGCCCTCGACACCCTCACAGCTCACATCAAGATGAGTGGCCTGCCCTCGACACCCTCACAGCTCACATCAAGATGAGTGGCCTGCCCTCGACACCCTCACAGCTCACATAAACACAAACTACACTGCCGTATACGCGCGCCTCCACAGTCTATCATACCCATGCCAGCAGACACGTTACGCGCGCCTCCACAGTCTATCATACCCATGCCAGCAGACACGTTACGCGCGCCTCCACAGTCTATCATACCCATGCCAGCAGACACGTTACGCGCGCCTCCACAGTCTATCATACCCATGCCAGCAGACACGTTACGCGCGCCTCCACAGTCTATCATACCCATGCCAGCAGACACGTTACGCGCGCCTCCACAGTCTATCATACCCATGCCAGCAGACACGTTACGCGCGCCTCCACAGTCTATCATACCCATGCCAGCAGACACGTCACAGCACGCACCAATCCTCCCGACTCATGTAAATATTGTCGGTGGAGCACATAGACAATGTGATGAACAATGAACACTTCCAGTGCCTGGATCTTGCCTTCACGAGGTTCTGGAAGTTCTTCTACTCCCCAGGCTTGTGAGAGCTTGCTCCAACAGGCTGTTGCTTGGAGTGGCCCGGAAGCCCACATATCTACAACAACCCAATTGGTCAGATATTTCTTGAAGGAAATTGGCAACGTTTTCTTGGAAAATGTCCCCTTTTCTTCCAGTGATATTTGTTATAGTTGCCGGGAGCCTATTTGAACAGCCGTGAACCTCTGATGTTCAGAGTGTTCTCTGGTTGTTCCTATGAGGGGGGCCTGATGGCTGAGTCAACACCACTCGGGATTCGTAGTCCTAAAGTTCTGGGTTCGATCCCCGGCCGAGACAGAAACAAATGAGTTTCTTTCACCCCTGATGCTCCTGTTCACTTTACAGTAAATAGGTACCTAGGAGTTAGACAGCTGCCACGGGCTGCTTCCTGCGGACGTGTGCGCGCGCACGTGTTAGAGAGAACTATATGTAGTTGACAGAGAAAAAATAGATGGGGTTACAAAGGCGGGGTCCAAGAGCTAATATCTCGAATACACACAGAGTGTCAGCAAGGCGGACGGCCCGCCTCACAAACCATACTATATTCCACACTTCTATAACTTCCCCCTCACCTCTCCACCGACCTCCCCCCCCCCCCGGGCCAAGAGAGATGGAGTGGGCTGGTGGACGCACCTCAGAGCGCTGCTGTAGTCTCTTGTTGAGCTCGTAGAGGCGGTAGTCGGGCTGGCCGAAGTACGGGGTGTGCCGTCTGGAACAACAAAAACAACTACATTGAGTTTAATAGCCTAATTATATTAGTGCATAAACACAATAGCAAACACACAGCAACAAACAAACAAACACAGCAGAAAACAAACAGCAGCAGCAGCAAAGAGAAACATAGCGGCAAACAGAAATACATTAAGCAAATATAAACACAGTAGCAAACTCAAGGAGTGCAACAAATGGTTGCTAGAACTAAATACCGACAAGTGTAAGGTAGTGAAGAGGGGGGGGGGGAGACCGGAAGGTATCTACCCCATAAGGGGGGGGGGGAGGCAACTAATGTAATCAAAAAAGGAGAGAGATTTGGCAGGGGATATAATGTGCCACCGGAGGCATGAACAGGTGTTGGAGGAACACCTGTTCACCAGGTCTTAAGGGTAACATCACCGGTCTACAGGTGTTGGAGGAACACCTGCTCACCAGTTCTTCAGGGTAACATCACCAGTCTACAGGTGTTGGAGGAACACCTGTTCACCAGGTCTTAAGGGTAACATCACCGGTCTACAGGTGTTGGAGGAACACCTGCTCACCAGTTCTTCAGGGTAACATCACCAGTCTACAGGTGTTGGAGGAACACCTGCTCACCAGTTCTTCAGGGTAACATCACCAGTCTACAGGTGTTGGAGGAACACCTGTTCACCGGTCTACGGGACGCTGCTAAACATTACAACTTCTCTTACAGATCTCAACCCACACAATCTTTCTTACGGGACATCCGCACCTTGTAAGTTTTTTATTTTAAAAGACGGAGGCTTGCAAGATGATTAGTGCCATCCAAGACAGTAGAGCTATGAGGATATCTTATTGCAACTGGACCTCACCACCTTGGAGAGGAGAAAGGAACAGAGTGGATATGATCACAACATAACAAATACCGAGGGGAATAGGACAGCCTCTGTCAATTGAGAGGGTGTCCAACACACACACACCCGGGGATGAATGGATACAAAATGTTCTGAAAGAAAGCCTGGCCTGGGGCCGAACTTGGGGGGGGGGTTGGGGGGGGGGGGGGGGGGGGTGGGTGGGGGGGGGGGTTAGGGGTTGGGTGGGGGGGGGGGGGTTAGGGGTTGGGTGGGGGGGGTTAGGGGTTGGGGGGTTGGGGGGGGTTAGGGGGGGGAAAGAACAACTCCCAGAACCCCATCCAGGTACAATCCAGGTACGGTAAAGACAGGGTTCACGTCTTGCACCAGTAATGGTCATCGTCTACATAAACCATCCACCGGAACACAGAATTCGTCGCATGTTGACCAGACTGACGCATTCCGTAAGAAAAACGACGTACAGGACGAGGCCGGCCGTCAGAATTGTGGTAGGTGATTGATTGATTGATTGATGAAGATTAAGCCACCCAAAAGGTAGCACGGGCATGAATAGCCCGTAAGTGGTGGCCCTTTTGAGCCATTACCAGTATCAAGAGCTGATACTGGAGATCTGTGGAGGTGCAACTGCACCCTGCGTGACGGGAGATGTCTCCCGTGTGGTAGGTGATTATATATATATATATATATATATATATATATATATATATATATATATATATATATATATATATATATATATATATATATATATATATATATATATATATATATATATATATATACACACATATATATATATATATATATACACACACACACATACACTAGGAGAGTGTAGAGGTGATCATGATAGCGTTTATTGGAGTGAGGAGAGGTGAGGTGGAGGGGGGGTGGGGTTAAGACGGGGGGGTGGGGGAAGAAGTTGAGGGGGGTGTGGGGTAGTGGAAGGGGTCTTAATCAATGGCACTCAGGAGGTGGACAAACAAAGGTGCCTCAATTATTCACAGGTGCAGCGGGCCGGCCTCCCTCACCCACCCACAGTGTACATGGGTGTTGAGGGTGGGAGAGGCGGCTACACATGTTCTCCTCCCCCAGTGGCTGTTAACAGGTGTGCTGGGGCCACGGTACACCTGTTCTCCCACCCCTACACCTGCTCCTCTCACTCAAAATTATGTATTTGTTTATAACTGAACTCTGACCCCCCCCCCCTCGTTGAGCTGCGGCGAGGTTAGACACCCAGCCCCCAGCCACACACCCAGCCCCCAGCCACACACCCAGCCCCCAGCCCTCAGCCAGCCAGACACAGGCCCCGCGGCTGAGTGGACAGTCCTTGGGGAGTTGTAGCAAGTAGTAAAGGCCCGGGTTCGACTCCCGGCCAGTTTGGCAGTTTGTTTCACCCGGTGCCCCTGTTCGCCTACCTGGAGAAGGGTTCGAGAGTTGTTCTACTCCCCGAGGCCGGCCCGAGGCCAGGATGCACCGTTCGCTCCAGTATGGTGTTATCCTACTGTGTACCTGGTTGATACCTGGTTGATGGGGTTCTGGGAGTTCTTCTACTGCCCAAGCCCGGCCCCAGGCCAGGCTCGACTCGTGAGAGTTTGGTCCACCAGGCTGTTGCTGTTGTAAATGCTGTACCTGGCCATCAAGTATCTTCCATGTATAGTACTGGATACCTCTCTCGTCTCCTTTCCTGAGAGTACATTCTGAGAGCTTTGAGACGGTGTTTACCTCAAGGTAACCTCAAGGTAGGACTGCAATCCTGGGGGAGGGGAGCTACCTTGTGATGATTTCGGGGCTTAGCGTCCCTGCGGCCCGGTCGTCGACCAGGCCTCCTAGGGGACACCAGGAGGGGGGTGGGGGGTGTTGTTTGAGAGAAATGTATGTAGCAGATGTGATGGAGAAAAGTAGGTTCGAAGTCGGTACTTTAGACACCCGACGGTTAGGAAGGTGGGGTCCAGGAGCTAGCAGCTCGATTCTGCAGATACAGTGTAATTAGCACACACACACACACACACACACACACAGCACATGTGGAGACTGTAGTGTGGGATGGTGCCCTTGGTGAGAGTGGCTCAATAATCAACTATCACAGTGTCTCATGTGGCACCACAACTCTGCCCCCCCCTGTGTTGGGGTACACCCCCCCCCCCGAGGTACACTCCCCCTGCCACCATACACAAACCCCCAATATAAAGGGTGAAGCCTGACTGCCAAGCCCAAGCCTTATAGTTAATGTTTACACAGCGGTAAGACAGGTCCCGCTACCCGAGTGATCATTCCCCGAGCAGCCTGTGGTGTACTGGGTATAGCACCACATCCCGCTCGCCTCACAAGGGAAACGACCTGGGGTTCGAACCCTGAAGCGGGAAGAACGACTGGGCACCATATCTTCAGTGTTGGCCCTCGTGGCAGCAACTGCGGCATGTGGATGTCAAACAATTAGCGGCGCGTGTATTGTGGGAGCCCAGGGGAGTTGTATCCCTTAACCGGGTCCTCGTCCGAGGCTTCAAACACTTATACTCCAGCAGTGGGGACTCAACCCTGGGTGTTACTGCAACGTCTCTAGCTCTTGGTCTCGGGCTGCTCTCTTGTCTCTGATAGGCTGAGTGCCAGTGTATATATGTATGCCTCCCTCCTCCTCTTGCTCCCCCTCTCTCTCCCTCCCTCACCAGCAGAGTGCTCCGTGTGTAGTGAGGAGGTCTTATTGATTCCCACACACACACTTGTACATTATGAACAGTTCTCCTGCCCACGCTACCTCACCGTCACCTCAAGACCACCTCAGTCACACGCCAATACCAGGTGAAGGTCGGGTCCATACCAGGTGAAGGTCGGGTCCATACCAGGTGAAGGTCGGGTCCATACCAGGTGAAGGTCGGGGCCATACCAGGTGAAGGTCGGGTCCATACCTGGGGAAGGTCGGGGCCATACCAGGGGAAGGTATGGCCCGGTCCTCGACCAGGGCCTCCTTTTTCTTACCCCCCCCCCCCCCCAGGAAGCAGCCCGTAGCGGCTGTCTAACTCCCAGGTACCTATTTACTGATACGTGAACAGGTACATCAGGGTGAAAGAATCTTTGCCCATTTGTTTTCTCCTCCCCCGGGGATCGAACCCGGAACCTTAGGACTACGAATCCTGAGCGCTGTCCACTCGGCTGTCAGGCCCCAGGTCGGGCTCGGGAATTGTTCTACTCCCAGAGCCCGGCCTCAGGCTTGGGTGTGTAATGTTCAAGCAGGTTGTGACTAGTGCGCACTACTATGTATTGTTCACTCTGAGACCCTGCAGCAGAATAGTTCCTGTGAAGAGTAGAGGTGCCATCTTGAGGTTATCTTGAGATGATTTCGGGGCTTTAGTGTCCCCGCGGCCCGGTCCTCGACCAGGCCTCCACCCCCAGGAAGCAGCCCGTGACAGCTGACTAACACCCAGGTACCTATTTTACTGCTAGGTAACAGGGGCATAGGGTGAAAGAAACTCTGCCCATTGTTTCTCGCCGGCGCCCGGGATCAAACCCGGGACCACAGGATCATAAGTCCAGCGTGCTGTCCGCTCGGCCGACCGGCCATAGTCACAATCAGAGAACACTGATCAGAGGTCCAGAGAGGAGTAGAGGTGCCATAGTCACAATCAGAGAACACTAAACATCAGAGGTCCACGGCTGTTCAACACCCTCCCAGCAAGCATGAGAAATATTGCCGGAACGAAGGTGGATGTATTCAAGAGGCACCTAGATAAGTTCTTGGAAGAAGTGCCGGACTAACCAAGCTGTGGTGGGTATGTGGGCCTGCGGGCCGCTCCAAGCAACAGCCTGGTGGACCAAGTCATCACAAGTACAGCCTGGCCTCAGGCCGGGCTCGGGGAGTAGAACAACTCCAGAAACCCTCTCAGGTCTGTTCCAGGTACTACGCTACGAGCGTCCTAACACACAAAGACCCGGTGTGGTGTAGGCCTCGTCTCTGTAGGCCTACCTCTCAACATACTGGCCTCAGTCTACTATTAAATGTGCACATTAGCTGGAAAATAAACCAAAATGCTAATGTTGACAGATGTTAATCTTCTTGTTTGAGGAGCTGTTCACTTGAGACAGTTAAGCAAGTCCCAGCTGTGTCTGGGTACAAGTGACAGGATGAACAACCCAGCGGGTTTTCTTCTTATTGGGGAGTGTTGTACATGCTGCTATGGCGGTG